GTGTTGGTAATCTTTTATTCCATTTCTTTTCTTTTCCACATATTTAGACGACCAGTAATTTTCCATAAGAACATAAAAGAGGAAATATCTTTAACCATTAGGTGGTGCTCTGTATCAATTTCTTTTCAAAGTTCTTTTGTTTTTCATTCTCTTTTCCAAAGTACTAACATTAAGTTTTGTCCATTCCAGAAAAGTCCAGCATTTTCTGGGGAGATTCTTGAGGTGGTGATTGGGTGTCAGCTGAACAGGAATTGGAAATGGAAGGGGGTCTCTAGAAAGAGATGGATTTTAGGGGAAGGCTGATCTATCTCTATTCAATTTTTCACAGATTTCTGTAAACTGCCTGCTGAAACCGGACGATGTAATGCCAAAATCCCACGCTTCTACTACAACCCACGTCAACATCAATGCATAGAGTTTCTTTATGGTGGATGCGGAGGGAATGCTAACAATTTTAAGACCATTAAGGAATGCGAAAGCACCTGTGCTGGTAAGTAGGGAAGGAGTTCCAGACTGGCCTTTTCGTTGAAAAAGACTCACTGTCTCTTAAAATTAGGCATAAGGTGGGTCCATGAAACATCGTGGTTCTCACAACAGGCTGTGATTGATTTGATAGAAGGGAATTTTTGTCACTCAAGTTGAACTGTCCAATTTCTGGTGTTCTCTTACACCGGTGGAATCCCACCCCTGAAGGGCTGTGTGGTGTCTCCTAGGCCTAGACTTGGTCTGGGCACCCGGAGGTCTGTCTGGGGTCTTTCAGGCTCTCCTTCTGTCCATCAAAGGGAGAATTGATGTAAAGAAAAGGTGTCATGATGCCAAAGCAGAAATTGGTGTGGTGGGGCCGTTCTTCCTGATAGGTACCCATCCCCACTCTGCGGAAGCCAGGAGACAGACCCTCCATGTCCCTCTGCCACTGGCTCTTGACCTCTCCTCCTTCTGAACCACCATTGGGAGAATGGTGACCCTGCCCCAGGCCGGCTGTTGTTGGGCACCCTGTTGGGGAAGAGGGTGCTCCTGCCAGCCTGGTCAGGTTGCCAGAAGGGCAATGAGGACTTCCAGAGGAGAGGCTGTGACTGAACCCTGTGCTCACTTTGGGGCCAGCTCAGGCCAAGACTGGTCCAAGCTCAGGGGACAGGAAGGTCCACAGCTT